TACTTAATGCAAAATACAGAAGCAAGTTTGTCTATTTCTGACAACTGAGAGCAGTATTTCTCTGCTCTAAAACCTGAATATTCCTGTTAATTTCTAGGTACAACATAGCAGCACATGCTTTTAACTTCTAAAACTAACTCACATAACTCTCATACTAGAGCATTTAACTTGCAACATTCCTAAGACAGGTAAGGGAAGGCTAAGAATGGCACAGAAAGGGACAGATCTTTTGGTGACTAGTCACAGAGACAGATACACTGTTTTGAGACTAACACCCACTTACTCCTGGAGCCTGTTACAGATACTAGTCAATACCAAATCCTTCACAAGAAGGAACAGATGAGTAACAGACAATTGGAACTATCGTGAAGTACAGGTTTTGCTGAAAACGTTTGTGTTAGGGTATAAAATTAAGAGGTAAAAATCTACCTACAATGTGGGCACTGGTGTGGAGTAGAAAGACAAGTAACAAGTGGTGCCATAAACAAACTCAAAAAAACTCGTATGATTTGCTTTCTCCTATAGCTTGATGACAAGGCCAGTAATTCTCTAAATATGAAAATGAGCCTACATGTAGATTTAATCCAACATTAAGTAATAAATCTTGAATAAAGGAAAAAAAAGATTTCTAAGACAATAACCCAGATAATTATTTATGCAAAGCCATGCTATGTAAATAAACATAAAGCTAAGTACCTATTATTTGAGAAATACTGTTAAACCTCCATTTTGGAATGCCTTCTAACCAATACATCAGTATGACTGTTTTCGTATCGGAGCTGTTCACATAATTTGTTATTTATACTGCAAGAGTAACCAAAGACCCCAGTTAAGGCCTTACCATGTTAGATGTTATCCAGCAATACAGATATGCACAATTCCTACCTCAAGCAGTATTGGCTATTAAAAAACTACTTTAAAAAAATACAGTACTTCTATTGTCATGTCTACTGTAGTATTTTTCTCTATACTGTTCCAATTAATAAACCCCAGAGTTGTTTAAAAAAATTCACAACAGAAAATTAAAAAGGCTGGTGTAAAAAAATTCTGTTCTAAAAAAAAATCTGTATTTCTATAACCCAAACTTCATCAACCCCCAAATTAAAAAAACCTGCCAGTGGTAGAGGTTTTATCTCTATTGGTAGCTTTGAACCTAGGATTATTTATAAATTCTCATGAAACTCTAATTTTTCCAGAATTTATGTCATTTTCACTGAAGTTCCTTATACTAGCTGCCTATTCCATATAAACTGATTAAAAATAAGCATATTAGTCCTATTAATATTATGCAGTACACCCCTGCAGAACTGTGGGTGGATACATACAGTGTATGCCAAAATTTGGTATTCTGCTTTAACAGTATGATCACTTATAAGCCTGTATATTTTACTATCATACATAAAGGCAGGTAATACTGAAAATGGAGCTGAAAGAGTATGAAAAATACTTTTCGTTTAAACAGAAATCATCTCTTCTGACAGCATTTTTCCTGGTGGAGAGACATTGACCAATAGAATACTTCAACATCATCCATATTACCTTAAAAGGGATACCTCTTGAAGTTCCAGCTTTCAGGAAAGCGTATGGGTGCCAGTTACCATAGGAAAAGAAGAGGAAACTGATAACATGCTAATTTAAACAGAATTTAAGAGTTCCACAAAGTTTTGTGCATCTTATTTCGGAAGTATAACAAAGCTTGTTTCTTGAGGGCTTTCTGAAATTCTGTTTCTAAAAAGAAGACTCTAACACTCTTGCTTGACAGCTCCAGAAACACCGATGGCTGACATAATTGAAAGAGATGGCCTTTAATGAACTCATCTGAAGTGCCCGCTCTTACACTGAGAACAACCAGAGGGAGCAGACAGAAAAAGCAAGAATTTCAAGATGCCTGTCCTTTCTCAGTGCCATTCTTCCTTCCCCCTCCACCAAGCCTGGGGGCTCCCCAGCCTCAGCAGTAGCAGATTTCATTACTGGCACAGTCCCTGTAGCCACTGAGCACCCTGGTGTACTCAAACTGCTGCACAGCTGATCAGGATCTTTTTGGGCCGACTAATCTTTTGGAGTGGATTAGACAAACTGCATAGTCAGATGTGATTAATGCTGATTAGCTGAACAGCAAGAGGCTGCATAGGTCTTCTTGCCACTGTTTTAAGTCCAAATACTCATGAGATGTTGTTTGAACACCTGAAGAGTAACCCCTGTCTGGCCATATTTATCCCCTTTTAGAAACCAATAAAATAGCATTTCAAAAACTTTTTAAATGTTCCTGTATGACTAAACTTCAATTTCTACAATTAAGATGTATCAAGAAATTATCAATTTTATTGGACAGTGAACTTTAGGGTATTTTTTTAGCCACAGGACTAATCCTGTAACAGAGAAACAATTCCATGGTAACATAAAACTAGTCAGATTTCAAAACAGTTTTAAGTATTTCTATAATAACCAGCTATTTTCAATTTATCAAAAGCATCAAAATCATAAGATTATGAAACAGTTGCCCTTTCCTTCAACACAGATTTATGAATCATGTAATAAGTGGTAAAGTTTTTAATTCCAAATTTGGAGAGAACAAAATGAGTAAGCACATGTATCACTTTTCACCTGAAATCATTTTATATACTCCCCCCACTTGGTATTCATTAAATTGGGTTGTATAAAAAGGTGAAATTAGAACCATTTCACCTGTAACTCCATTGAATTGGCAAGAGGAGGTTTAAATTGAAGCTCCACCACTCATTTTAACCACTAGATGCTGAAAATATATATAGCCTCCTAAATAGCTTTACTTAGTCTGAAAAAACTTAGCATTTACAAAAAGGTGATGCTACCACTTGGATTGCAATTCCTCAAGTTCTTTTTCATGTCTGTCTATGAGAATTTCAATCTACAATCCCAGGAAAAAAGAAATATAAAATAAAATATAAAATGAAAGTATATTCTGCTCATGTGTATCAAATCACAACCAGAAAGTAGTCAGCTGTATTAAATATTTTGTTATAAGGTCTTAAATAAAATCTAAAATGCTAAACCTATGAATAAACGTCAGCATCATATCAAGTAATTATACTTTCTTTCAAGGAAAAACAATCTAATTAACACTTTTTCAGCCACTGACAAACTAGAAAATTCATAATAAATTGAAGTCAAGAATTCAAAAGGCATTCAAGTAAGAGAAATAATCACTGATTTTAATGATCAGAATTCTGTAATGTGAACAGCTGAAAATGAACAGAGCAGTGTCACCTTCTGGAACAACATTAGCTTAATTACTTGTACTTTGTACCATACTGTTTGAGTAAATATACTAGTAAATCCATAACTTACCAATAATATTACTGTCTTGGAAATGTTAAGATTTACCATCCTGCCACACTCCTTCATCAAACCTTTTTTAAACAAGTGGATTTGTTTTGGGGTAAACTCCAGTGCTACTGCTTTATTATTTTTAGACCACTTGACCACAGAAAACTTTTGCTCTTTTACTGAAAAGTCTGAATCAAAAATTCTTTAGGAAAAACATCTTTGTAATTACTTGAATTCAGTTCTCATCTACACGAAGGTGTTTGTTAGAAGGTTAGATCCAGAAAACAGCTTGACTGGATCCTCACCATAAGCTTACCCTATACAGATCTACTAAAGATTCCTGATCTTGGACTTACAATAATCCTACTTTATCTGTCCATGACTTTTTCCAGACAACACTGAAACTATGCCAAACTATCTGAAAAGTAGCTTTAGCATTTTATATCCTTATAGCTGATCCTTTCTTCAACTTTATTTAAACTCGCTTTTAGAAGCTGCTGCTGCCAACCCCGGCTTTAACACACTGTGATGAAGAAGTCCTGGTGAGTCAGCATATTCTGACAATGAGTTGGACAAGATGGGAAGGCAAAAATGAGAATGGATGAGAGAATGAATGACAGCAAAAGAATGGAGTGCAACCACCCCTTTTTATCACCTAGCATTTCTACCGGCTTTAGGCAGCATGTAATTGGAGAGTATACCTTTCTTACACAGACAGTTTAAATATTTCAATTTTATTAATCTAAAAAGAAATTATTTACAATCAAAAGCACTTGAATTGCTAAAGGTAAACAGTTGTATTGGGTATATGTGGCCATGTGGCAGGGTTTTGGTAAGCTGGGGTCAGCTACAGGGGTGGCCTCTGTGGGAAGAGGCCAGGCACTGTCCTGTGCCTGACACAGTCCTTTCCAGCTGGCTCCAAAACAAACCCACGGTAGGTCAAAGTTGAGCCCAACTTGTTTGTGGCACGTCTGTGAAAACATTTAAGAAAGGGCAAAAAACACTGGACAGGCAGGCGGGGGGTGGCAGTGCAGGGAGGAGAGTGAAAAACAGCAGAAGGAACACCAGGGTCAGAGAAGGAGTTGGTGCTCCACAGCGTCAGAGCAGATATTCCCTGTAGCTCGTGAAGGACCCAGGATGGAACAGATATCCCCTGCAATTCATGGGAAAGCCCACACTGGAGCAGATGGATACTTCCTGAAGGAACTGGACCACAGTTTTTTCCCTGAAGGACTGCAGACTAAAAGAGAGAGCCCACACTGGAGCAGGAGAAAAATGTGAGGAGGAAGGAGCAGCAGAGAGAAAATGTTACGTACTGACCATAAGACACTTCCTCTCCATGCCCCCTGCACTGCTCAGGGCATGGGGTAGAGTCTAGAGTGAAGAAGTTAAGTTGAGCTTGGGAGAAGGGGAAGGAAAGGTGTTGTTTTAGTGTTTGTCTTTGTCACTACCCAAGTTTATTTTAATTGGCAATAAATTAAATTTATTTGCCCCAAGTTGAGTCTGTTTTGCCCAAAACAGTAAGTGGTAAACAGTCTCCCCATCTTTGTATCGACCCATGCGTTTTCTCATCCTATTTTCTCCTTTTGTCCCACTGAGGAGGGGAGTGAATGGCTGGGTGGGAGTTTGGCCTTTAGCCAGGGTTAACCTACCACACCAGTACACATGACTGTGAGAACATTCTTTTGACTTACTAGAAGAAGTAGGTTTCTTTTTTTCTGGACTTCCTGTATCTTCCATTTCTGCTTCGGTGCTCTCATTGGCTGTAGCTGCCGCCTTTCTTTTTTTCTTTAAAAGAAAAAAAAAAAAAAACAAGGCAACTGAACTCAAGAGCAGAAAAGACCACACAAAGTAGCAAGTACCTTACCCTCACAGGTATCCCCCAATTTCAAGTATTATTTCTTCATGTATTATAAAACATCTCCATGTGCAGAGAAAATTTATTCATATATTAATGCAAGAATACTAATACTAGGCAATAGACAATTTAAAAGTTCAGTTCCCCTATCTGCAGTTCTCATTAGGAGTTGAAATTTTAATGTATGAAAACACAAGTTTTTATGATCAAAACCAGGTTTTTTTATTTATATTGAATAACTGTTACAAAAGGAGCAATCTGAAAAATCTTAAAAGAACACAGAAAAACATTTTAGCCAAAGTTGATGTTAATTGCTTTTAAAAAAAGCAATTACACCTCATTAAATTCAAGTTTATCTGGATCCTTGCTTCTTAAGGCTTTCTTTGCACAGCTTAAAAGTAGCTAATATCCACTGACAGTACATTATTATTTTTTTCTAATAGCAACTACGGGTTCTGTTCCAAAGAGAGGTACTTGGGAAACATGAAGTCTATTCAAGGTACATTATCTTAAAACCTCTAAATGGATAGAACTGTTATTATCTGTGTATTACAATTAATCTTACTATTGCAAAGTATTCTTAAGGTGGTTATGGAAAGATTATTTTTTTTAAAGCCATGTGATTTTTGCAAAGGATGAGTTGACTTGTACCTGTATCAGACCTAGAGGGTAACTTTGATGAACACTGGAAGAGTTTATCTTTTCCTTTTTTTTTTTTAATTGTGTGAGACTAGAGCTTTACTAATACAGCTTTAAAAGTGGCTACAACTTCACATAGCTCATGAGAGAAAGGGAGAGTGCATTACATCTTTCCTTTCCAAAGTGTTGCTTCATGATTACCATCTAAACCCTGCTGGGCTGAACAGATTGGTTCGATAATTACATACAATAACTGCAGTGGGCAGGTAACCCTCAGCTGGCACAGGGCAGCTCCCCTGTGAGAACTTCCATATGCAAACTGCACTGATGGAGTACATTAGGTACATCTTTCCTGCCGGTGCACAGGCCTGATTACCGCCAGCCAAGACTCCAAGGTTAGCATGTCAGCAGATTTGTGATGCATTAGGCAGGAATAAACACAGACACTTTTGTTCATTCTGACCAAAATTAAGGAGGACTATTTCAGCGCTGTACTGCTTTTATATGAGAGATAATGCATCCCTCCCAATTGTACTGGAAAACATTTTAAAAGCTCATCAGAAAAACAGATATCCAATACACCCTACACAAAAGCAAAATGCATTTATCTTGTTTCCAAGCTTATTTAATAAAAAGTGGTTTCTTAATCTTGATGCAGGTGAATTACATAGCAGTAGAAATCAGGCAGCATTCATCTGACAAAAGCAACACCTGCACAACTGAAGCTGAACATTAGAAGGAACCACAAATCACTAAGATCCCTATTTTTCCAGTTTAGTTTACTTCCAATATTTCCCAGCAACTCTTCAGCACTAAACAAAAGTATGATGTGGTCCTTGCCCTAAATAATTTAGTCAAGAGCTCCAGATACTTCCTTCAACACATGGTACTCTTAGCGTCTTGGTTTCCTATAACCGTTATAAAATATCACACACACAAACTAACATGCATTTACTGTACAGGAAAAACAAAACAAAACAAAACCAATCTCCAGCAGAACTGTGGACTGTGTTTCATTTACTTATACATCTGGGGAAACTTCAGTCATGATATAGAAAATAAAATGTTAACTTTTAATATAGCAGACATCTGTGAGTTTTAGCCAGACACCAATACTGGAGAACGACTTAGATTCCAGAACAACCGTGCTTATATGCAACATATAATGCACATCATGGCTCAACTAGCTATACGAGCTGAAAGCACAGGAGAATCCTGCATTTCAGGAATTTATTTACACAGAAGTTAGAAATATTTTATCCTAGCTATGAAATAGCTTAACTTCAGAACACCAAACAACACTGTTTTAAGAAAGTATTATGGTAGATTGCTCCAAAGGAATTGAAGAGTAGGTGTCTTAAGACCTGTTGTGATTAAAAGATCAGTACAGCCAAAATGCCATAAATACTTTATATTAGAGGTCACCATTTTCTCAAGGGTGGATGTCAGACTGCATTTTTTCTTTTCCAAATTAGACATTAAGCATGCCAAAAGAAATTCAGCACGTGCTAGAAGATACCGGCTTTCAGAGGCAAGATGCTACTGATCAGTGGTAAATTAACTTTATGGAAAGCAGTTTCTAACAGACTTTGGAATTTGGAGCTTATCTTTAAAACACTCAGTCATCAAGTTGAGCTTCCTGTCACAACTGAAAATACATATAATTTTAATTGGCATTCTGTGTTCTTCCTTTCTTCCTCTGTGTATCTAAGTGTCCAGCTACTCTCAACTAGCACAAATTGTCTTCCTGTTCTCCTAGCCTCTTATAATGATGATAATGATAATAATGTCTGATACCCCCAGAAGAAAAACCTAGTAGCATGAGTTCACCAACATATATTCTGGGAAGGAGGACATCCTGCTGAAGACCCTCCTTCTATTCATTCTTGAACAGAAGTGCAAAATATGCCCTTGAAAGGTAGACTGACACAATCTGTTCTTCTACCCTAGCCTACACCACAGCTGTTACAAGGCCTAGAAAATCCAACATAGAAGGAAGAGTCAACTGTCCTGGTATTTGGTCAAAAGCAAGCAGGCTATGCCAACTTGATTTCAAGCAAATCAATCTTATTCTGTCTGGACAGTCTAGCAGTAGCTGGCATGAAGTAGCTAGCATGAAGTCCACTGCAATATGAAATGGTCAGCTGAAAACACTTACTCAAATGGGCAAGTAACACATTATTTTATGTAAGTGCCTGAACATATTTGTGACAACTGAGCAAGATGACCATGCACATGCTTCCTCAAACTAAAAAAAACAAACAAAAAAAAAAAAAAAAAACCCCACACAACAAAACAAAAAAAAAAAAGCCCCACATAACACCCAAATCCCCACTATAACCCAATGTAAAAGCTAACTCCTAATTGATGCTAGTAGGTAAGAACCTATGGAAAAAGTATTATCCCACCCTTTGGGAATGGTCTTAACTGATATTGGCTAAAGAAATAAGATTTTTGTATTTTTATTCCATTGGAAATGTGCACCAGCCATCTCTGCTGGACAAGGACATTAAAGGTCACAGATGTTGGCTCTGCAGCAGGCCAACTTACTCAGCAAAGAAACCAGCCAACCATTAAACACATTATTTTTTTCCCCCAAAACACACATCTCAAACCATGTTGATCCACAGGGGGAAGAGAAGAATTTATGCCAATGAACTCTTCGTTTGGACAGTTCTTTACACTCAGTTCAACAGAAAATATAAGCATAAAGATCACGGCTGTACAATTTTAGCCAAAGTACTTTTTGCTGGGCAAAAAGAAGAAAAGCTGGACATATATCCTCAGAAGACTTTAAAATCCTACAGCTTTTTTTCTTTTGTGCTTTTTGTCCATCTTTAACACACTGCTGATCATAGCACAAGAATTCTGCCTGTTTAGTGACATTATTCTGTATTATAATTCTCAGTTGCCTGGTTCATAAGTTGCCCACTTGTTTATTTGCATTTGTTAATAACAAGTAATAAATGCAGTTTGAAGTGTGGGATAATAATAATAATAGTAATAATAATAATAATAGTAGTAATAATAATAATAGGCCTCTTGTGATAGGAACAAGGGGTAATGGTTTTAAACTAAAAGAAGGTAGATTTAGACAGACATAAGGAAGAATTTTTTTATGATGAGGGTGGTGAAACACTGGCACAGGTTGCCCAGAGAGGTGGTAGATGCCCTGACCCTGGAAACATTCAAGGTCAGGTTGGACAGGGCTCTGAGCAACCTGAAGATGTCCCTGCTCATTGCAGGGGGGTTGGACTAGATGAACTTTAATGGTCCCTTCCAACCCAAACCATTCTGTGATTCTATGATTTATTGTTCCATTATTTGTCCTTTTTTAATTGTTATTATAAACCATTTTAACATACAATTTCCCTAAGGCTTAAAAAGTTCTTACGCTGTATTCAAATGGGAGCCCAAATCTAGAGTTTAAGGCTTCTTAAATACAAGGAATAAAATAGCCCTAGCCTACCACTATAATTAAGACTCATAAATAACATATTAGATCACAGTGAATTCAATATGTGAATTCCAGAATCAAATACTTAGTTTTAAGTATACATCTTTATGCCAAGCTTTGAACTAGTCACAGAAAGGGAACTAATATGAAACAAAAATTAGACTTATTTTACCTTACATGTATTTTGACCCATCTGGAGTCTTACCAATTTAAAAAAAAAAATAAGTAAATTAACTGAATGTTCATCTGTTCAAATGTCATTACAACTATATACACACATTCTGTTATCCAAGATATTATCTACTATGAAAGCACACCTATAAATATCATTCTATATTAAGTTACAGTAACAATTAGTGAAGTTAAATTAGAGAAATAATGCGTAAGAGTAGAACTTAATCAAACAAACATTTCAATATTTGCTTATTTCCTACTGGATGCAGTTATGACACCTACTTCCAGTACCACTTTAACTCTTACTTAACTCAAAAAAATGCCATAAAAGCTGACATAAACTTTTAGAATAAAGACCTTTTGCATGGGATTTGTTTTCAAGTCTCCATTTTCTGACAAGCCGAAGTCAAGTACTCCATCATCTTTTTGCCCAATGGCCTTAAGACCTTGCAGAAGTATTTCTCGGAAATGCTGATAAACAGGTTTCTCTTCATAGCTCAGTAGCTTTACCTTTTCCATATATTTGGCTATTTCATCTAAAGAAATGGTACCTCCAATTAATTTCTATTTAAAAACATTTCAATCATTCACTTTTACCATAAAAGAGTCAGAAATTATGCATGCACTACTTACGCTATTTTTTTAAATGGTTATTTATAAACTCATAATTATGACTTTACTACAACACATTTTAAAAAAAAATTATACCAAGGTTCATTACCCAGTGATGACAGCATCACTGTTTTTTTACACATTCATCGCAATGAAGAAAACAGTCAGTCGTAAAAAATTTAATAGGCCAATCTTCACCAATAAATGCTTGTTTACATATTTCTTATGTCTATATTTTAAAATGTTGTAAAGGAAACTCAATGTTATCCCAGAACTTCGTCAGTTCAAGACTGAAACATATTAAAAAATATGTGAAACATTTGACCACTGAAAAATGAGTCACGCTTGACAGAGAAAACACTCTTCTGATCACCAGAAGTAGCTGGAAATAACTAAATATTTAAGTTTTAGATCCCAAGAAAGTGTATTTCTAATAGAGTCAGGTTAAGAAAAAACAATCTGCTCAATTCGCCAATACCAAATAGAAACAATCTAGACTTCAAGTTCACATTACTTTATATTTTGAATCTCTAGAATTCAGTTGTGAAAAATCAACTTACACATTTCATGTTTGCAAATACTTAGTACTGTCTTTAGGAGCAACAGTGCCTGCAGTTCGTATAACTGCAGCCAAAAGGAAGAGTCTAAACTTCTCCTAATGAACAATCTAATTCATGCCAATTTCTTGTTGCTGATAAAAGTAAGAAGAAAAATAGATACAAACTTAAGTAAACAAGGAGGACTTCAAGCAGCAACAGATTAGAGTACAATGCCCGAGACACACCTCTCAGGAAAAAAGCTGCTGACAGTCTGACAGTTCCTCACCTTTTGCAGCAACTGAATTGATCTGGTTTTATTTGAATACAGTGTAGCACAGCGTTCCCTTGTACACACTCAGTGTACCCCATGTAAATACAAAATTCAGAGCTTCTACCCATTGCCTAAAGTTGTCTACAATTTGGTGATGGCACCCAGACAGACTGATGGATATCTTTTTTTTTTCTTCTCCAAAGAAAAAGGACATTAAAACAAATTATTAGAGAATGCTTACCGCATGGTACAAACCAAAGTATTTTAATTTAAAATAGTTCCTCTTACCTGGTTTATTTTTCCCAGGAAAGCATTTGTCCATCAAAACTGAAACATCATCTCTACATCTGAAAAACAAAATTATTCAAAACTATTGTTTCCTTCAAAGTCTGAATCATGCCCGTTCTGATAGACTTCCTATGTACCTAGCTTGGGCCACTGTCAGAGACAGGAAACGCTACTAGATAAACCTTTGGTATGACTTAATACAGCCATTGTTAGGAGTGCAGTACATATGAGAATCTGACAATTGCCAGACAGGCTAAGTTTTTGTTCAACAGTTTTTGATTCCTATAAAAGCAAGCAAGTAGAAGACCGAAGGAAAAGAACAAGTCCGTTTTAAACCCTCACATATCAGCAGTCTCACCTCTTCCTGCTAGAAGACTCTTTCTCTAGCTGATATTATTCAGAGCAGATCCCCTGACAAAATAAAAACTGGGGGGAAGTGGGGAGGGAACTTTGCTAACATTAATGGAGGCCAGAGTGTTAAAAGTAGAAATAAGGAAGCCAGATAACAAATACTTGTTAATGAGACAGAAACTGCTGTGCTGGGAGAGCTTTCTTCACGTTAAATATCTGACAAGAGAAGGTTGAGCGGGGGTGGGGGGAAGACAAAGGAATGTAACAGTGAGGGAGAGGGACAAAAAAAAATAATTGAAAAATGTCATATTCCTCTACCTGCAATGATGCTCAAAGACATTTAAGATCCACCTTTAGATCTCATCTCTGCCACTGACTTCAGAGCATGGTGTTATAAAGGCTACTCGTACTCCATGCTTCAGTTCTCTTTCTGTAAAGCAGGACTAATGATTACCTGTATACTGGTAATAGTGCTTTTTGGCTTAACTATGGCAGTACTCAAAAGCAACAGTACTGCGGTGGATAAACAACCATCTCACATATGCAAAAGAAGACAGAGTAGAACAGTACAAGTAAAGTTTAATTACAAGCCAAGGATACATGAGACAATGAAAGGAAACAGGGGTACACAAAACAATAGCCCACTCACCAAAAGGGAACATACTGAAAGGACAAAGCATTTCTACATTAAGACGTTTTCATTCCTATTTTCAATTTCAGAAGAGGAAGAAAACAAGTGGTTTCTCACCTGATTTTTGAGTCTCTGACAAAATTTGGATCTTTCAAATTATCCTCCCATGGTAGATGGCCACTAAGCCAATGAATCATACAGTAACCCAAGATCTCCAGATCACCACGTCTTGATGGTGCTAGATATATACGAACACATAAAAAAAGAACCGTAAGAGCAGCTAATAAAGCACACATAGTTTAACAACAATTAAAATTTGTAAATATGTTAAGACAATAGAAAGCCAATGCTCACAATGCAACACTGCTGTATCTGTTACTTATTTCTTTATTTTAGCCTGAAAGCAAGGAAAGAAAAAATATTCTTCCTACATCTGGAAGGGTAACTTCATTTTCAAATCCTTTATCAATCTCTTTCTTCTACTCAAGGATATGACATGCTGCAGTTATCCCAATCTGGGAAGCTTTTTAAGTACTCCAATTGTGGAAAAAATAGAGCAAGTTAGTGAAGTGATTGACTTTGTTCAAAACAGTTTTTACTTTCCTTCTTCTATAAAAAGGTAAGAGTGCTAAAACCCCAGCTCCTGAAAAAAAAATATTCCAGGATGCTGAAATATTTTATGTAGCCTGAAAACTGAAAGGAGGAAAATAATAGATCAGATCCCTAAGCCTTGCAAAAAAAAAAACCAAAAAAAACCAAAAAAAACCCCAACCAACAAAAACAAAACCAAAAACAACACAAAACCACACCAAAAAACCCACCCACGTGTACATTGACCACAGACTACACTAGAAGTTTAACTGGGCAAATCAAGCCATCTTTGTTCATGTTCAGTTTTAAGCATAGGTGCAACAGTTCGTCCTGAATTAAATAATAATTTTCAACAATTTATATTTTTGCAGGACACTTTTATGGATAATAAAACAAAATTTAAGAATGAAGAAAATAAAATTGGTGTTCACTACAAATCCTCAATGTTTAATCAGACATAGACCTGTCCTTTTCATGTTCAACCTTTTCTCACTTCTTGCCTTTTGATATTTGGTGACTAAAGGCATAATTATGAAATATTATTTCATAATTAAATGAAGTTTCTTTAACGAAATCTTCTAAATATTAAGCCATAAACAAGATAAAGAATATTGTGCATCTTTGCCAAATATGAAGGAGCAATGTTCACATTGATAACAGAAAGTATTTATCTCCTGAAAACAGGGCCTGTTTTTCTATCAAGATCTCATAAGCGGTATTCCATTTCTACTCAGTTAAAAAAAAGCTATACACTAAACATCTTAACAGTCTTTATAAATTGAAGAAATCTATTTAACAAAGTTACATTAAAAATACAGTAAATTAATATCAAAGTAAAAGATATAAAATGGGAAAAAAACCAAAAATGCCAGCATAGTCCATAGAGTAGAATAAAATTTTTTTATAGATTAAGAAACCTGGTTGTTTACAAAACTCAATGCAGCAAATGAAGTCCTTTGTGTTCATAAAAAGGATACACAAATGCCTATTGCCAAAAACAAAGTTTTACATCCTTACCCACACCGTTGTGTGCATCAATACTGGTATATTCAATAGTTCCATCATGGCACCTTTTAGGATCTTCTTTATATACTTTGTGAACTCCTTCAGGACAGTATCGGAACGCAAGTCCATAATCCACCAAATATACCTAGTAATTTAAAAAAAAATATTCTAAGATTAAAGAACTATAAATACAAAAAATGCACAAATAATAAGTGTAACTCCCAACCACTCTTAAAAGGAGTATTAAAAAGGTGAGGTTTTTGACTTTAAATGATCCTTTCCCAGTGCTTTATTGAGATTACTACATATGATTTGAGAACAATGTGTCAGATAAATTTTGTTGTTTTCTGTACAGCAGTCTGATCTGGAAGTAGTTTCTTGCTGATGCTGAGGCCAAGTACAGTAAAATAGTCAGTTATTACCAGTAAGATGAAATTAAAAAAAAAAAAAAAAAAAAAAAAAAAAAACTCCATAGTGTTCATAGAGTTAAATACACTTACTGTCCTACCCTCTTTTAAAGTCAGCTATCCCATTTGAACACTGCTACATAGTATTATTTCTCACTAACACCACAGCTACTTTAAGAGAACTGAGATTATTTTACTTCTTTCATGAGCTAAAACATTCGGGCAAGAAGACATACATAATTCTGAAACTCTAATATGCATTTTTTGAACAGTAAAGAGAGTTAAAATAGCAGAAAAATAAAAGACTTCTGTAAATCAAGTGGAACAATCAACACTTTAAAGACCGATTTTTCCAACTAACAGAACACTTATCTGATGGATTTCTTGAACAAAGGAATGAGGTAACAATGCAGACAGGCAAACATAATTTACCAGTGTGCTATATAATTTTAAGCTTCCACCTCCAAATACCTATTTGAGAGTCAATTTTTTTTTAATCTCGAGAATTTCTCTAGAATATTATTTAGGGCAAATAGTCAATTTGATAACTGTCCAGCAAAATGCATAAAAAAATTTGTAGAATATTAACTAGATATAAATGTCAAGCAGAAATAATATTACCATATACATTCTTAAAAATGAGCTTCTGCTAGATTTCACAGGTTCAAAGCACTTCCATGTGTTGTCAAATAGAAGGTTTAAAATACGAGGAATAAAATGCATCAGAAATACCTGATTAGGGTTCTTGTAACTCAGAAGAAGGTTTGAGGCCTTGATGTCTCCATGCACATATTCATGCTCATGGATGTATTCCAGAATATCAAGCTAACAAAATAAAATACAGTCATATAAATGCAGTACCCAGCTCTGCCCAGCAGAGGACCTGTACTCAGCCCAAAAGTGTGATTTAATCAAAAGACTTACACGGGGAAGCCAAATTGTAAAAATATATTTTTTTTTTAACTTACTATTCTCAGGCCTAATTGTAGTACAGTTTTATGGGAAAATCGCTTTGCATTCTCTTCATACATCTTCTGAAGATCTCTGCCAAATCTGTCCATTATCATAAATCGATAACTAAATTCAAGGAAAAAACAACAGCAAAGTCACTGAATTGTACTTAACAAAGTATTTTACGTATGTGTTAATTGTACAAATTACTGATTGAAAACATCTCTCTCAAAAGATAAACTGCAGGTACATAGAACAGAAATATGTGGGAAATACTTAACTTATTTTTAATGTTGTACATTAATTCTTAACTTTTTTACATCAGCTAGTCAAAAGTTGGTCCATCAAAAGAACTGTTCTTTATTCCTGGCTAGTTATGCAATACAATAACCAGTACCCACAGAGGAAGATATTTGTTTTGTAATTCACCATAGGTAAAACCAAGCACCAATCACTTACAGAAATACATTCATTAATTTATAAATGACTGACTTAACATGGTTACTTTAAAAAAGTTAGTTTCTTGAAATCAATTACAACCTTTTTTTTAACCTATTATTAAAACCAAAAATCTCTCACTTGCCAAAGGTGTTCTGATATTCATTGCTATAGCCAAACTGGTTCTGTTACTGTAAGAGCCCATAGTAGCTATATTAAAGAATCTCATGCATTAAACACTGAATGGAAAGAAAAGGTTTTTTTGGAAAAAAATATAATTTTATTATATTTACTTTTGCCTCTCAAAATTAGTGGGTTTTTTACATTAGATTAGTTTTAAAGTTGAGGACCTATTGAAACAATGGTATTTCTGACATACTAAGGCATACATACCAACTGCCCTAGGTAGTGGTCCACACAAAGAAGCCTGACCTACTATAAGCTGCCAGAGAACTACTAAAACTCCTCTGCAGCATAGCTGTATAGAGAACGCCCACTAGGAAACAAGGACTGTTTATCTAAGACAGGCATAACATTCAAGAGCAAGTAACAAAAACAATTCATGACATGGAAAAATATTAAAAACTATCCCTAGACTTAAGAAAAATTTAACATGAGACTAGCAATTATTCTAGCTCACAGATTAAGTAAAAAAACCTAACCCTAGGGATAATAAAATAGAGCACCAAGTCCTTTATATGTGTGAGTGAAAATATTCTTTAAGTGCACACCACACCACAAGAAAGACTTTGAAGGTAGTCGTATTATTCAAAGACTTGTACATTAGAAGTCTACTTTATTTTAATTCAACTATGAAAAGCTTCTAAACCACGTGTATATATATAGCATCACTGTACTACAGCAATGTTCAAGACAAATGGAAACCAAACCACTAAGAACATAATAGACACAAATACAAATAACAAAGAGTACAAATAAAATGTATCTATACATCTATTCCTTAAAAACACCCTGTTATGAACATGAAATTTTGTAGCAGAAATTAACAACATGAAGATAGGTGGAAAATACATCTTAAAAGAAATTAGGTTAAAAGGGATAGTGGTTGTGGATGAAATAAATCCCAGTATAAGCCAATGAAAGATATATTCACCTGTTTCCATTTTTTTCATGCAAGCCAGAACCCCAATATCTTGGTACACCTAAATATTTCAGTTTATGGGACTTAGTCCACTTCTGAACTGAAAACACAAATAAAGGTAAGTTCATGAATTCGCATCAGTAGAGAAATAAAAAGGGAGTACTCGCATCACTTACAGTTTCTGCATACATGTGAGCTGCTTATTTCATGGAAACTTGTATGCAAAGTATACTGGAAATTAATGATGCATCCATTGTAGGGACAGAGATGCAACTAAAGTTTCAATTTAGACAATACCATCAACACAACTGTAAAGAACATCTTGCCAAAAACCCCTAATTTTACTATATGTCTGAATTAGATTTAAATAATTTTAAAATAATTTTGAAAATTACTAAAAAGATTCTCTTCAAGTTAAACCTTACTCCTGTAGGGTCTATTTTCCTAAGTGCTTGTAGTTCATTAAAAACATTTTAATAGACTGCTTACTTTCGTCTGGCTTAGCAGCTCGCATGTAGAACTTTAACTCAGTAAAAAGAGGTCCATTCTGGCTGGGTTCCTTTAAGACAATTTAAAATTAGTTAAAAACTGCTGTGTTAGTGCCTAATAATTATTAAAAGCTCACAAAATGTTAACATCCACCCTATAAAAGCGTGTTCTCCCTCAAATGCTCTACCCAGTGCTGATAAATTCAATAGAATATGGTCTTTTTATGAAAGAAGGTTGGCTCTAAAAAGTTATTTTTACTATAAATTGCTTAACATGAAGGGTATCAAAGAATCCTTTCCCATAACAAGAGACTGAAGAATAACAAATTATCTGAAATGTATGGAAATATTACAAATAACTGGCAGCAAAAGTTTAGCACAGAACATTGAACAACATTCATTATCTCAGATTTTCCAGTTTAAAGCTAGATTGCATCAGTTGCAATAGCCATTAATGAGCCTAAAATAACTCCTGAAATGATTTGATGGAAAAATCTTAACAAAATTTAAATTCTTGTGGAATATAAGGTATTTTGTTCCCTTCATACATTAGTTGATCAAGGTAAAAATTAGATGATTTTACAATTTCTCTTAAACTAAATTACAAGAACTACACCTATTTTGACTTCAGAGTCTACCTTGTATTTAAGCTAACATAAGGTATTTCAGTTTCATTTTCTAGGGACAAGTCTATAGTAACCATATATTATAAGTAAAGTGCAAAAGAGAAACTGGTTTGAAAACACCATAGCTTTGAAATACTGCAAGAACCGCAAATGGGCAAGTACCTTGACTCTACATTTCCAGAACTTAGCGCAGAAAAGAAAAAAAAGTTATTTCAACCTTGCAATTTTTAAGGGATTGATTTTGAGATAAGCTTAAGCAATTTATTTTAGTCTAGTTATTCATATATGTCCAAATTCATCCTATCTCAGTGAAAATACCTGTTTTGGAATATCCTACACCCTTAGAAAAATCTAACAAAACAAAAAAAAAAGTATGCGATTACTGGCAAAGAAACCCAGAAAGAATACAATCACATTATATTAGCAAAAGTTCCAAGATACACAGTGTCAATCTTAAATGGTTTTATTGTAACTTTTAAATGCCGATATAGTGAACCAGAAAATTGCTAATGGCCAGACTGTACCACTCAGCTAATACAGGTTTACTGCTGTCCGACATTAACAAAGCTATACAAAGAGATCAAACACACTGATGAATATGGGCTTTAGTGTGTATCTGATGTATTGGCTTAGAGGCAGAGCAGGAAGACTGGTCAGAATGAGAGCAGATATCAGCTTAAGCACCACTCGTAGGCCTGGACCCTCGATTACAGAGCTACCGCCTATCTCCATCCACCTCACTTTCTCCAGAGCATTGCCCTGATAAACAATGGAGCCAAGACAAGTTTTCCAGCCCCTCCTTGTGGGACCAACGTTCAGACTTAAGCCATGAACCTGAAAAAAAAAAACCCCACACAACTAGACCAACTGATAAATGCACATACACTTTGGTACATGCATATCTACTTTCAGTTAGTTTGTTTATCCACTATGGACAACAAATTAGTGATATAGAGATTATATAGACGGAGGAGAAGGATTAAATAACTACAGTGTAAAAATTCAGCTATCTCAGACAAACGTTACTTGACCTACTCACTTGTTTCTGTGTAGCATAATCCAATAAAATGCTCTAACTTAATCAGAATATAAATTATACATATTATTTTGATTCAATTTACATGGAATTGAAGAATGTTATTTTCTTACTAAAATATAGCAAAAAAATGTAGGTGTTAAAAATTCTTAAAAATATTTATCTTTAAATAAATTATTCCACAAAAAGTATGTCTCAATGCTGGGGGGGGGGGGGGGGGGGGGGAGG